CTACGCTTACTTTTAGGATGCTACTACTAGTACTTGTACAATACTTGCATCATAGTTTTCAATTTCAAGTCCAGTCGAAGCCATCGAACACGGTGCATACATCGCCCAAGCAACGTCAACGGTAAGAAACAAGGACACATCACGGAACATGAACTCAACGACTGACGTTACGTGTATGCGTATAGTGAAACACAACACAAGCAAAGGGGCCCACCACAGGGTCGGATTGCGACCATGACATGAACTTCAAGGATGACACGACGCAGGTACAGAATGAACATGAATATCATCGATGACTGCTTACTAATGGTGTCGTATACTGTGTGATAGCTCATCTCGGTGGTGCGATAATTTCCGAGGGCAGTGGCGCCAGCCCCGCCAAACAACTGCGCTCACAGCGACGAGAAGCAGACGTTGAACCAAGCGTTTTTGTCGCGAACGGTGAGTGAAGAAACGTCTTCGTGGCTATATCTTGAGGACTGTAGCATGGTGTTGACAACGTTTTTCGTTTTCGTGAAATTTGTTTATTCTTTCGGGTTGTTAAGTCCTTTGCTCGTAGCATTCGGAGTGGCGCCGCGGAAGTTGTGGCATTCCCCAGCCACCATAAATTCCATAAATTATTCACTTTGCCGTTTGAACATGTGTACTCTTCGTGGAGTGTTGGTGGTGGAAGCAGCCAATTCGTCGATGCAGTTTCAGCGCTCCTGGCGGTTGGTGGCAGCGGCTGAGGTATTCCTTCAGGTACAGTAGTATCTGGGGAATTCTGTCGCGGTGGGTTTTGTAATAACTTCTCCCCAAATTTGGATAAGTGCACCGTTGCGTTGCTCCATTGTCACTGATAATGTGTTATGGTTCGTAGTGTCCAAGGGTTGTAAAGTTGGAGATGGATAGATTAAAACCGTCGTCAACACGTTGAGCCAACTTCCCCAAGTTGGTTTGGACAACTTGCAACTGCTGGTACAACGGGACGTGGGGTAGGATGCCAGTCGCCGTCATGTTCGTGGTGGGGTTCTACAAGGTGCCACCGTGAAGGCCAGCTGCAAGGGCTGGCAGTGACCAGGACAACCACACAGGCGACAGAAACAAGGAGTGGCTGTGGTGGAGAGTACTATTCAACCATGTATGGTGGTGGACCAACGACGTCAGCAGATATGGGGCGACGGAACGAAACGCAGCCGGATAAAGAATATTCCGGCAAGATGGACTCACTGTGCTGGACTGAGCGAGATCGACGGCCCACTAGTTGTTTGTATACAAGGTGTGATATTTCATATTCCATTCCGACAAATTTATTCTGAATGTGTCGGAACCGACACAATAGCAATGTTCCTACCCCTAATTCATGTGATCAAAATTATCCAGGATACCAGTACCTACTTTTTGTACAATACTACTCCGTCCCAAAATAACTCCACACATTTCAACTTCGACTCGCCTCAAAATTTGACTCATTTACCCAATCTCAACGAAATTTGTACCAATGAGAAGCTTGGAATTCAGTGTTTTGCTTGATCGTATTTATATTGCAGGTTTATTATACAGGTTTGTTGGATATTGTGCACATTATCATCAAATTAATATTGCTCCTCGGCGCAAAATTTTCATTACTCACCGGACTTGATTAATGTATGGTCCAGTGGGTAATAATATGCATATACAGAGGTAACGTAAACTCTGTAATATATTTATCCTATATGGGTACTCATCGCCTGCGTTCTGCTCGAGTCAGGCAGACATCCCTGCCGTAACCATCGTGGCAGTCCTCGTCCTATATATCAGCAATGCTCATCATGTAAGAAGTTTGGCCAATTGGCTCGACCACTTGCTTGTTCACAAGAGGCAGTTCACGCTATACAAAGATCATCAGTCTTATTTAGGACAAATTTAAATAAGTCCTCGTAATAAAAATGACTTTTTTTCAAAACTCGAGGTGAAACGACGAGTAATTTGGAACGGAGTAGTACTATCGTAGTTGATTTGTTAAGTAGGAACTTCTCAGAAATCAAAAACAGGAAAAACCTGTTTATTTAGATATTCGAGATCATTGCTCGGTATTGTATTTCAAAGGATATTGTACTTCGGAGTTGGGTGACGGTACTTGAGCACATCATACCTTGTATGTGGTTAAAAGTTAATTTCTTGTTGCAGGTCAAGTAGTTGAATACAAAACTCGTGTATTAAAATACGAATTCTGAATAGTCTACAAATTGATGAGGTTAATCAATCATAGTCAAAACCTCTTCGGGGTTTCTGTCAACATCATTTTCCAATTTTCGCCCAACCTCCCAACTGGTTGTATCCGGATGGTGAACGGTGCTTGTAGCCTTTCGTGTGCTTCTCGAATTGGCATTGGTGAACGGATTTCGGGTCTCTATGGAGTGCCGTTTCAAAAGGCCCGCGGTCCTAGTAGCTGATGGGACCGCTTCAACCTCGCCCGTAGTATTGCTGGGCCGGATACCGGCGCGTGCACTTCGGCCCTTGGTATTCTGATGAGTCCCTGAACTCATGCGGCTCACACGAAGGGGTGCGAGCTGCAACAAGCACAACATAAAGGTAAAACAAGTTTAATAGCATGAATTATTTTAAAATAGGAACTCCGACACTACTCAGCGGTCTCCAATTCGACAGCGCGGGATACAACATCATCGCTGTCGACCAGGTCAGAATTTAATTCCATGAGTTCCATGCCATCACATTGTAGTAGAGATTCAAGAACAATTGCCGCTTCGACCGCATCCGGATCAATCGTACCTTCGTCCACCAATGCCATTTCAGTAACTGCATGGGATGAAAGTTCGTCCAACAATCCACACTTCCGAAACCCATTCATGATTGTTGTTTTTGGTAGGTCGTCCATGCGGTGTTGACCCACTCGACGAGGTCAAAGTGGTCGGGAGGACTAAGTTGATAATGGTATTTCCTTATGGTTGTCGATTTAGGAGCGCAAATACTGAACCCAGCGACGTCCTAGTACACCAAGCGGACCACGGATGGAGGCTCGGCTATGATGTGAGGCGGTATGAGCTTCTACAACAAGAGTGAACTGGCATTGCTCGAAGACGACAAGACTCAGCGCGGTACCAAGAAACCCTCGGAACGTTTCTTTTGCCCTCAATGCGTGAGTTGCGTGAGTTGCCGTCACGAGGCCAGGCCGTATTCCAGCAGGATAACGCTAGTATCCATCGTTCTCGCTCAACGATGGCGTGATTAGAGGCGATGCCATGGGCTTCGATGCCTTGGCCTTCAAAAAGCCCTGATTTGAAGCCTATCGATAACGTTTGGGGGGTGTTGGCTCGGAAAGCGTATGCGAATGATCGTCAATTCGACACGAAGGCCCAATTGAAGGGTCAAATCCTGTAATCGTGGCGAAACATTGACCAAAGCTACCAATCTCATTTAGTTGAGGGAATGCCAACGAGATTGGCCCAAGTTATTCTTCGCCGTGGACTGAACAAGTCAATGTACAAAGTGCGTCTATAGTTATGACTCACCCAAAATATCATGTTATTAGGATTTTTCTCGTGATCCACACACAAATGGAAGAAATCCTTTGTGGAGTTCCTAGATGTTCATTTTCAAGGATGTTGACATTGATCGTTTCGGATAAAAGGACATTTTTGGTGGAAAACTCCAAAAGTTTGGGGTGCGTCTATAGATCTGTCTCGGACTGTAGGGACTTTGCAAAAGACAGGTACTTGCATAACATGATGGCCACAAATATAAAATTATGTAGGTATTTAACGCTCCCACTTACAGTTAATTAACAAATCAACACGGTAACGTAGTATGATTGATCGAATGAGCGAATTGAGGCGATTCGTTGGCTAAAATTAGAGCATACAAATACTAAGTGAGGTCGGAATATTCATCGGTAACGTAGATGGCCAATTTATGGTGCACTTGAAAGAGGCCTCGTCGTAGATTGCAGCTTACTCGTCTCTCAGGACCGGGATTATAATTCTGAAAAGTACTGCATGAAGCCGAAAGGTTGGGCATTCTTCTGATTTTTTAATTAGCTTGAATAGACTTCAGCTTAGCGTTCATTTACTTCGATTTCCACTCAATCAAGGCAAAATAGGAGGCACGGTTTAAGCTTAAAATATATATGCAGTTTTTGCATGTTTTTTTGTGATTTCAATTTTTCTAGTGATTCGATTAGCTATTCAAGCTATTCCATTGGCCACTTTGAGTGCTCCTTAAACTGTCCCGTGCACCATAAACTGCCCATCTACATATATTGTATGTTAAGTTTACAATTTTCGATTGACGTGGTTCCTATTGTAACATAAATGACCAATTTATGATCTCTGTGCCAACTTATGATCACTCCCATTGAACCAATCACATCGGGGTATTTTTTGACCCCAAAGCCTCCAATAGATTATACTGCTTGAACTCGATACGTTACACACGCAAACCATGCCGAATCATCCGGACATTCGACTTGAACATGGAAAAGCTCCTTGCCCTGCCCCGCAGATAACCTAGAATTGCTAAATGCTTACTAGTATCATGGATAGTATGGGTGCTTGTCAGGGAAATCACAGGTGCCGAAGACGACATAGACCTACCGTATTCCCCATCTAACTGTACCAAAGCATTATCGCTACCCAATACTTTCACGCGCGCTGATGCCATGGCTATGCGCATCACAGATACTCAGCACCGAGACTACATTTCTGTACTACTAGTACTGTACCGGAACACTGTAAAGTAAACCTCAGCATATCTGTCCTACTTCTCTGGTCCGAAATAGTTGTTAGGTGTACTTTCTAATTGGCGGGATTTTTCTACACATCCATAATTCTGCAAGGTAATTGGTGCGTTAGAAAGCACAAGACTCCTGCTTTGATTGGGTAGTTTTTGAGCTTTCTAAAGCACTTTGGTTCATGAGATATTAGTAACGTGTCATCTGAGCCAAACTTTGGCATCACACACACACATCAAAACACAATTGTTCCTCGCCCTCGCACCACACAACCTCTCCACAGCTGCTTACTATGCCCTCTACATTGGCCGCCAACGCTTCTTCCCCATCGCAGCCCCAAATGGGGCCAAACGGTGTCACGCCTTTGGACCCGTGGTCAGAAGTCCGACAAATCCGGACGCTCATGTGCTGACGTGTCGTCGAAAATTCGCGGTAATCCTCTCTCTTTCTATATTCTTACTAGTTGTGACAAAATATGGAATTCTAAAGTTTGACTATTTTAGGGAATTCTGGACGTAAAAAAACGCGCACGCATGAAGAATTCGAAGCTGCCATACGACAACTCCCACAGGAGTCGCCCCAGACCCTTCGAGCCTTGGCCAACAAGAGCGATGTTCCGAAGACCACCATCATTCGGCACATGAAGGATGCTGCTCGCTTGAAGGCGCGTTTAAGCTACGTGAAGCCCTTCCTCACGCTGGAGAACATTCGAGAGCGACTGCGGTATGCAATGACGTTTCTTCGCCCTTTGTCGAATCGAAAATTTTTTTTTGAGGATATGTACGATTATGTGCATATTGATGAAAAATGGTTTTATTTGACAAAGGTGAAAAGAAAGTTTTATGTATACGAGGACGAAGCTATTGCTGCTCGTTACGTCAAGTCGAAACGATTTATAACGAAAGTTATGTTTTTGGCGGTCGTTGCCCGCCCTCGTGTTGACTTTAACGGCACACTTTTCTATGGCAAAATTAGAGTTTGGCCATTTGTCTAAAAGGTTGCCTGCAAAGCGAAACAGTAAAAATCGTCCTAAAGGCACAATAGTTACGACTCCTATAACAGTTGATGCTACAGTGTACTTGGATATGGTCCTGAAGAAAGTTATTCCTGCCATACTGGGGAAATCCACGTCGCACTGCTGTGCGACGTGGTGTTATTATTCAACAGGATAATGCCAGTCCGCATAAATGTGTGACATCAGAGATGTTGGAGTCCCATGGTATATCCGGTATTCAAGTCTACAACCAGCCACCGAATAGCCCTGACTTCAACGTCTTAGATTTAGGATTTTTTAACTCTATTCAAAGCCTGCAGTATCAAAAGTGCACTCGTACCATCGAGGAGCTTATTGATGCTGTGGAAACCTCGTTTTATGAGTTGCATGTGGATACGGTGTCAAAAACGTTCATTACCTTGTAAAAGGTGATGGAGAAGTGCATCGAAATTCACGGTAGCAACGACTATAAGCTCCCTCACATGAAGAAGGATGCGCTCATATCAGACTTCACAGCCTTCAATGTTGAGTGCGATGCCTATAACTACGAGAGTGCCTTGATTCACTTGAACTATCGACTTGGCGAGGAAGCATCCATGGAAGTACTGGTGAATTCCCAGGAACAAAGTCTCGTGGAAGAGGAATAAAAATACATTAATTCTTTTGCCTTTCGTATTCGTTCTGGAGTGACTTACAAATTTCAAGTTGTTTCATGACGGCTACTCATACTTTAATTAAGTGAAAAACTTGCTAACAACTACTACGTAGTATTATGGACCAGAGTACCAGAGTAGTAAAATGAAACGATTGGAACAGGTTATCCGGACCATGTGTTGGAACTGTCCCACCAAATATTCTTGAAATACATAACCTTGTAAACTTATATATTACCTGACCATAATGAATACCCTATCAGCACAACTTGTATGCATCAAGGTATACACAGTTCAAGGTTAAAAAAGTGGACAAAAATTGGTCCTCAAAAATAGAGTAAACTTGCTTGGAAAGTTGGCTTTTTGTATTAGAAGTACATCTTGAAATGTAGTAATTCGATTACGAAGTGAAACCTTTGTGTTCGGTTGTTAAGAATCACTTCACAAAATGTGAAAAGTCGTCCTGTGAGACTACTCCGAAAAAGTGATCATAAATTGGTCTTTACAGTCCACGACAGCTCCGAGGGAGCTTAACGGATATTTATCCGGATAGATCATGTGTTGGAGAACTTGTTGTGTGCTTAGAAACTGCATAAATCAATAGCCAAATTTTACACCACATTATAAAATTATGAAATCATCTTTTTTCGGAGTTCGAAACTCGCTGTCAATTGCCACGGTTTCAGTCATTCCGACTGTGAGGAAGAGCTGGACACGGAGCCGTCAGATTCGTTGCCGTCTGAATGGCACTACTGTAGTTGTCGTCATCGACGATTGATACGTGCTTGTGTAGGTCCAACAGGTCATGCTCAGCCTTCCGGATACAGCCAAATATCGCATGTGATGTCAAGCTGGCACAAGCTGCGTCCAAGCGATGCCCAACGTCATGGAATGTCGTGTCGTCCTGGTACTGTCTACCAACATTTCCTTTTATGATGGCCCATACAACCTCGATTGGCTGCAGATTGGAATGATGTGGCGGACTGTAGTAGATTTCATGCCCGGCGGCCTCGCCCATGGTGACAACCATCGGTTTGATCGCGCCCACAAATGGCTTCACTTTTGTCCACAACACCGATTTCAGGTCCGATGGCGTCCAATTCACACTGAAGCGATCACAAGCTTGCTGCAACTCCAACTTTCGAGACTTGAATGCCGGCGTATCAGCTGGGCGACGTTTATGGTAAGCTGCATTGTCCATGACGATGATCGTGTTTCTTATGTTGTTGGCGTCGAGTTCATCCAGGAGCCGCTGGAACCATCCCAGGTAGTACTCATGATTAAACATGCCATGATAATCTTTGGTTTGTTTGCGGCCTGTTCCAACAAACTTCTCGTAGGCGATAAACCTTGAGTTGGACTCCCCGCCATCTACAATGGCACCAATGAAGCAGTATCGCTTCCCTTTGTGCTTCGCTTTTGGTTGGTTGTCCAGGTCGTCTGATGGGTCGTAGAGGGACATGTCATTTTTGTTGTAATGGTGGTGAATAAAACTTTCGTCTGTGTATACAATTGTTCGTCGATCCCGAGGATTAACATGTTGGGTTGCCGCGCACATTTGCTGAACGTAGATGTCCCGTAGCATGATGTTTTTTCGGTGAGTGCCAATGACTTTTTTCCTTTCTAACTTACACGTTTGTAGCCACAAAACTGCAAGAAGCGTTGAACATTCCTCAATGCTGTGGTGGACGACAGCTTGTCGGTCCGATCGAAGTCAATTACGCCTGTGTTTGCGAGGTGGGACAAAACATCGGCAGCCACTACATGATACCGGAGCTGTTGCTTCTCACGGACGAATAGTTGAACAGATGAAACAATGTCGATCGTCCTTGGTATACGTGATGGTTTGGAGTTGGAGTTAGTTGGAGTAGGAGCAACAACAATTGAATTCGTTGCGATGTAGTCCTTCCATACCCCCTGCACAGTTCGTTTCCCACGACCAAGCATCTCTGCGATATGCATCGAAACATCACCAGTGGTTTTGTTGGTGGCTTGTTCGAGCCGTAGGTGTGCGTGCATGCGTAGGATATCAAGCCGCTCATCTTTTGACAAGGCTCGGCCGCGATTAGCCTGGACAAAGCTGCATATTTCATCGAACCCCGCCACATCAACGGTACTACGGACTGATTTGACCATGTCGGTGACCAAAATGAAATAAACCAGTGAAATCAAAGGAGCCAGTGCGAGGTTACGTCATTATATGATAGAAGAATGGCCAATCATGGAACCTCTATCATTAAATATGGGTGCAAAACCTGCTCACAATTTATTTTGAGGAGTTATTAGGATTTGAGGTAAAATTAGAGTAACAATTTTATTTGGAAACAACGTGTATGACAGGATATAGTGTTTCGAAGCATTTCAATGATACAGCTGAAATACAGTTTTTTATTACGCATTTTCTGAAGTAAAATTTAGGTAAATCCGATAATTCTTCAGTGAACGCCAGCTTAAGCTCTTTCGGTGCTGTCGTGGACTGTTTGTACGTTGTTAACACTATTTTGATGTTGAAGTTACATAACTGCCATCGCCGTGTCTAAGTTTAGCGCGCGACCGTTCCAGTGTGCCTTTGGTCGGGTACTGCCGATGCAAGCGTCCGACGCACCGCTTCCAGGGCCGAATATGAAGAACACGCGCAAGATCTCGCCCGAACTCGCGCCGCCCGCCCATGACAAACCCGCCACCTCCAACAACCCGTCCACGAATGCCATCCTCGAACTCACGCGCAAGGGGTCCGGGATCAAGCGCCAAGGGACGACCCGACTCGGGCCGCCGCCGTCGGCTCTCCAGCGGCGGGCCATGGGGGTCCTCGAGTCCCAGCTCTTCTCAGGGCTCATGAACATCATCACGATCTACTGCCTCGTGGGGGACGACCTGCGGGTGGTCGTGGCGACCAAGTCGATGGACATTGGGTTCTACGTGGTCGCGTTCATCTTCTTCTGCCTCTTCTGCGTCGAGTTCCTACTCAGCTGCTTCGCCAAGCCCTTGTACATCGGGTCCTTCTACTTCTACCTGGACATTGTGGCCACGATCTCGCTCATCCCTGACATCGGGTTCATCTGGGACCTCATCGTGGGCTCGGACACGCGCAACGTGGCGGCGCTCAGTGCCGGCAAAACCGGGCGTATTGTGCGCGTGGTGCGTATCGTGCGCCTCATTCGAATCGTCAAGCTAATCAAGTGGCGCCACAACGAGGAGCAGAAGCAGCAGGTGGCCGAGTCCAAGACGGGCGGGCGGCTGGCCGAGATGACCACGCGGCGGGTGGTCATGATCGTGATCTTCCTTTGCTTTGTGCTCCCGGCCTTCGACGGCGGGTACAACGACCCAATCAACTCGTTCGAGACCAAGGGCTTTGAGAGTCTCCATGTGTTCAACTTTCAGCCGATGCCGTGCGTGGAATTTATTGGCATGCTCAATGTAAGCCCCGAAACCCCGAAATACATGGCTTAACCTGCTGTTGTAGATCTGGGTCACGCGCACGACAAACGATCTCATGTACCTCCGCATGAGTACGATCCCGTTTGACACGACGACGCAGTGGCTTTCCAAAGTCCGCTTCAGCAGCCTCGACCTCAAGGTGGCGAATCTCACGAGCGACCCCACCACGGGGTGGAGTCCGGCCAAGATGCACCTCTCCGAGGACGACGTGCTGCTCAACTACCGCGTCACGGACCTCCGCGTGATTCGCGTCACGGGCTGCTACTCGACCGAAGTGAACCCAGTCGCCTCGGCGAACGGCAACTGCACGTCCATCGCGTACTTCGACATCCAGGACGACATCAAGGCCGCGGCCAAGGCCAGCATGATCAAGTCGGTGTTCGTCATGTTCGTGCTCATCGCGTCGTCCATTTCGTTTGTCCGCGTCGCGCGCAAAATCGTGCTCGACCCCATCGAGCGCATGGTAACGAGCATTCTCTTCGGGGTTTCGGGGTTCTTGACATTTGTATTAGATGGCGACGGTGCACCGGTTGGAGTTGAATCCACTGGCGAAACACACGACGGTGGAGCAAGACGACCAAAAGCTGGCCAAGGAGCAAGGGTTTGAGACGGCGTTGCTGGAGTCCACGTTGGAGAAGATTTCGGCGCTGATGCAGGTGGGGTTTGGGGCGGCGGGGGCGGACATCATTGGCAAGAACATGGGCGCGGGCGAGGTGGACCCGATGCTTCCGGGCAAAAAGATCACGTCAATCTACGGGTTCTGTGATATCCGGCAGTTCACCGACACGACCGAGTGCCTCCAGGAAGAGGTCATGGTGTACGTCAACAAGCTGGGCCACATCATGCACAGCGGCACCCACGCGTACTATGGCATGGCCAACAAGAACGTCGGCGATGCGTTTCTGCTGTCGTGGAAGCTTTGCGACGGGGAGATGGCTGGCTTTGCCAGATTTAGTGACACCCCCACCGAGGAGGACCGGAAGGCGGTCAACTCGACCGTCAAGTGTCCGCCCAACAGCGGCGCGGGCCGCAAAATGCGGCGGCTGACGCCCACAGAGCTGGCCGACTCGGCGCTCACGGCGTTCCTCAAGTGCATGATAGACCTGGACAACGCCAATTCGTTCGGGGTGCTGCACGAGTACATCATCAAGGACGTAGTGATCAAGCGGTTTGGGCCGGGGTTCCGCATCCAAATGGGCTTTGGCATGCACGTGGGGTGGGCGATTGAAGGCGCGATCGGGTCGCGGTTCAAGATCGACGCCACGTACATCAGCCCCCACGTCGAGATGGCGGACCGGCTGGAAGCTGGCTCCAAGATCTTCAAGACCAAAATTAACGTCAGCCACTGGCTGTACGCGCTGCTGTCGCCCGCCGCCCGCAAGTTTATGCGCAAAATGGACACCATCCAGATCCGGGGGTACGTCCTAGTAGTACTAGAAGTACTAGTAGTACTAGTAGTAGTAGTTGTTGAGGGTGTTGGTATAGGGTGGACACGCCGCTGACGGTGTACACGTTCGACGTGACGAACCCCAAGAACGGGTTCGCGACCCCCAAGTTCGACACGGACGAGCGGGGCAACCAGGTGCAGAAGGCCGTGGACTTTGAGCACGACCCAGAGTACAAGGAAATCCGGGAAGGACTCGACCCAGAGTTCCTCGAGAGCGCCGCCGCGGGGGTGGACCAGTACTTGGCTGGCGACTGGGCCGGGGCCAGGGGGGCCCTTACGCACGCGCTGCAGCTACGCCCGACGGACGGACCGTGCAAATACGTCATGGACTTCCTCAAAGAACACGACTTTCAAGCGCCGCCCGACTGGAAAGGCGTGCGGACTCTTAATGGGTACTAGTACTAGGTAGTAGTAGTACTCAATGGGTTCTAGGTCGTACTGTACTCATTGAGTACTAGGTATATGTTACTCAATGGGTACTAGTGGTGTCAGGTGGGTAAAGTAAACGAAGTGATGTTGTCGAGTGTACAATAAGTATACTCGAGGGATTGGGGGCAATAAAAATACAAAACTTTTAATACTGAGAGTAATCAGGACAAAGTGGTGGTGTAGATACAACACTACTACTGTATCATCATTTGTTGAACGAGTTGCCAAGAGCAAATGTCCAGGCTCTGCGGGTGTCAACGATGGTCGTCCGCTCACGTGCTAGACGCAACGACCTGCATTAAACTGTAAATGTGTCGTACACTCGTTCCTTGAGTACTCAATGGGCACTAGGTATACTAGTATGTACTCAATGGGTACTCGGGTACAGTACTAGGTATAGGTATATGTACTCAATCGTACTATTAATAGGTATATACATATATGTATATGTACTCAATCGGTACTATTAATAGGTATTAATAGTATATATATATGTAGTCAACGGGTATTACTACGGCGGGTCGGGTTAAATGATTCAAATTATTGTCGTGTGTTTCCAGTTCTTACACTCGTCAGACAATCGATTTACGACCAATCAAAAACAAGTGGCCAACTCTTCAACACCGAATTAGTGTGTGCCTGAAATTAGTGTGATACTGGACGATCTTTCCATACAAAAGTCAGGACAAACAATCGATTGTAAGTCGACATTTTAGGTAAAAGGCCTACATACTACTACTACTGGTACTACTTGAATGTTACAATGCTCCCAGTAGTGCATCAAATGCGGCCGAGGTAGGTCCTGCGGCCTTGTATTGTTTGGCCAGGTATCGCAGCAGCGGCACTTTGACGGACATGCCTTTGGCTGCCAGCGCCGACACTACGCGGGGGGACGTGATGAACTGCATTAGCTGCGTTACGTTCCGGGGGTGGGTGCCATAGATGCACTTTTCAAAGTCGATGAATACGACGCGCGACGACCGATGGACGAGGATGTGCCGCATGGGGTGGGTCATCTCGGCCTTGTTGATGCGGAGGACGTCGAGGACGTAGCACTGGTGGAAGATGCGCCGCACGAACCACGCGATATCGGTCTTGGTCGCCGCTGGGTGATGGAGAAAGTCCACGGCGTGCAGCGCGCCATCCAGGAATTCGCAGCAGCAGTACCCGGGACCGCTCAAGACGAGCGTCGGGCCGATACTTAGGCGGTTCACGCGACGGAGCCACAGGCTTTCTCGGTCGATGGGGTTGTTGTGAAGCCCATTCAGCTTTTGGACCTTGATGAGCACGGGGGTCGGAACACTTGCGCTCGTGCCGGTGTACAACACTCCTCGCTTCCCACATGCGAAGAAGTGCGTGTCCAAGGGCTCCTTGCGCTGAGCTTCCAAGGCTTCGACAGCTTTCTCGAGCGACGCTTGGCCTTCCGACTCGGGCTTCATGAGGGTGTCGAGTTTGGACGTGTCGAGTTTCCACGACGTCCACCGGGTCTCGTGGGTCGACACTGTCGCCGCCTGCTCCGTGTTCATGGAGACAAACATGGAAGGCGGCGCAGTATCTCCATAGGCATCGTCCATCGCATCACATACGTCCTGAGGAAGGAACGCGCGGAAGCTTTGCATCTGCAGCACGACATACCAGTTCCATCGCGCCAATTCTGGCATGATTGTGGAAAAGCGCAACTTTTATGAAAAATATACTTAAGTATATATAAGTATCTGAGAAAGGATTTATAAATAAGAAGAAATATTCATTTATTATTTGTGTGTTTATAACAGTCGTAGTATCTCCATAATAATAGTAGAACAATCATTTATTCATCAACTTGTACTTTACTGAATGTCTTGAAATGGAGATATAATATAATTTCCCACCCGCGGGAAACCCAACGAAGCATCATGCTGTGGGTCGACGCACACCGCCCGACGAGCTTGGACCGGTTGGACTTTCACCCGGACATCAGCGAGCGGCTAAAGCGTCTGGCTTCGTCTGAGGACCTTCCGCATCTGCTCATCTATGGCCCATCCGGCGCAGGGAAGAAGACTCGCGTGATGGCGCTGTTGCGGGAACTCTACGGCCCGAACGCGCTGAAGACGCGCCTCGAGCACAAGACGTTCAAGCACCCGTCCAAGAGCACCAAGGTGGAGATCACAACAGTTGCATCCAACTACCATATCGAGATGAACCCGTCGGACGTCGGCAACGACGACAAATTGGTGGTCCAGGAGCTGATCAAGGAGATTGCCATGTACCGCCTCGCCGACACGAACGCGACCAAGAACTTCAAAGTCGTGGTGCTGGTGGAAGTGGACTCGCTGTCCAAGAACGCCCAGCACGCGCTGCGTCGAACGATGGAGAAGTACACGGCGTCATGCCGCCTCATTCTGTGCTGCAACAGTCCGTCCAAGGTGATCGATCCGCTGCGCAGTCGTTGCCTCGGCATTCGCATCGGCGCTCCCTCGCACAATGAAGTACCCTCACATCTCTCCATCATCATCTCTTCCTCACGATCCCTTGCATGTAGATCACCCGGGTGCTGGAAAAGGTGTGCGAGAAGGAATCGTTGACGTTCTGCGCGCCGTTGGCGGCCGAGATCGCCATCAAGTCCGAGCGCAACCTCCGCCGCGCGCTGCTCATGCTGGAAACATGTCGAGTCCAGCAGTACCCGTTCTCCCCGTCCCAGACGATCCAGGTGCCCGAGTGGGAAGAGTACATCTGCGGCCTCGCCAAGGACGTCCTCCAGGAGCAGTCCCCCGGCAGTCTCCTCCGTGCCCGCGACAAGTTCTACGAACTCCTCTCCAACTGCATCCCGCCCGACGTGATCCTCCGAGTGCTGTGCCGCGAGCTGACCGCGCGCCTCGACGACGACCTCAAGCACGACCTCGCGCATCATGCTGCGTTCTACGTACGTCGTCGTCCGTATCTCGAGGGATTCCCTCTTTTGACCGACATATGTCACTAGGAACACCGCATGCAGTGCGGCCAAAAGCCCATTTTCCACTTGGAAGCGTTTTTGGCCAAGTTTATGACCATGTACAAGAAATTCCTCCTCGATTTTTACATGTAATCTCTAAAAAAGTCTAAAAACAATCTAAAAAGTCCAAAAAAGTCTAAAAAAGTCCAACCGCCGAACAATCGCCAGACACCTTTGAAGTTGAAAAGGAAGTATCTTTGAGCCTGCAATGCATCAATCAATATTTTTAGCCAATCATATTTCAAACTTCATTCTTTATAGCCAATCATACTCCTTTGGTCGATTAGTTGGCGAATTCATCCATCCCCAAGATATGGCAAATTTGACTGAAGCACAATATATATATCTCTTCTATGTGTGGTGCTTGAAGCTCAGGGTAGCGCGATAGGCCCTCAGCGCCGCCGCGTCCTCTTCCTTGTCCATCTCCATCTTGGCCCTGGCTTCGTCCATCTCGCGTTGGCGGCGCGCTTTGTCCTTGGAATCAAACTCCGCGCGCGCCACGGCCCGCCGCTTCACCGCCAGATCCGGACTCGCGCACCTAGTCAGCTTGGCTTGTCTGTCTCCTTTCTTGCTCTTACTGGACATCCTTCCCACAAAGATGGGCGTGGCCTTCACCTCCATCCGCTGGAGGCGCGCCTTCTCCGCGTCCGCCTTGAACGCCGCCAGCCGCGCCTTTGCCAGCTCGTCGAAGCGGTCCCCGGGCATGTGGAACGGCTCAATCTCGGTCAGCGGCAGCCGCTTCAGGGGGTGAAGTCCGGATAAAGTATCCGGCACGGGCATCGGCGCCGCCTTGAACACCCGACGGAGCGCTTCCGCCTCCATATCGGCTTGGATCTTGGACTCGAACGCTTCTACGTACACCTTGTGGCGCCGCACGCCCAATAAGTTGGGGCTCACGGGTGTAGTAGTAGTACTACTACTAGTACTACTAGTCGTCACTTTGCGCCGCTTGAACGACGGCATCGGGTGCGCATGAAACGGCTTCGCGAGCTCAATCCCGTCCAGATCGTCCACTACGTACGGCGTGCGGGTGCGGGTGGTGGTGACTAGATGGGGCGACTGGGGTCTTGTGGGCGGCCGGTGCTGCGTGGTGTTTTGGTTCTCTTTGTCGTGATGACCCCGCAGCACCAGCATCGCAGGATCGACGTACCCGCCGCCATATGCCGACGAAGAAGCAGGGGTCGGATGCATCTTGGCGCGGTGGGCTGTGACGAGGTACGGAGAGTGCGGCGATGTGGTCGTGGCCACGTACACTTGGGGCGCATGATCCCGTCGCATGAGGTCTGCAGCATGATACACATGCCCAAAGTCGCGGGACGGGGGCGCGTCGGAGGTCGGCTTGAGCTTGGCGCGGTGGGCGGTCAAGAGGAACGGCGAGTGCGGCGACGTGGGTCGGCGGACGGTAGATCGGAGGGTAGTGGAGGTCTGTTGGTGCGCCCGGGACACCAAGTCTGGCAGGAGGACGCGGCTCGTAGGACTGTCGCCATGATGGCGGTCTTGAGTACTAGGACGTCCGTGGTCTGCGCACCGGAAGTGCCGCTTGGAAGACTGGAGGTCCGGGGACGTGGGGTGCGTCAGCTGAGGCAGCTTCTTCGCGCTCGATGGAAGGAGCAGGTGGTACCCTTGAGTGCAGTCCTGGTCGAGGGTGGCGTTCGTACACTTGACGGGCGTCGCGGTGATGTCGGGGGTCTTGTTGGCTGAAGGATTGTCCATGGTGGGGTGGCCTTCGTGTGACGACTTGAGTGGGGAGGTTTCCTCGCCTTGAACGGGTTCGTATGCAGCGGCTTCAGAGGTCGTCTCGACCACAGTGGTGCACGCTTGGACTTGAATCAACCCCTCGCTCGTAATGAGCGCTGGCACTGCAACAACCTCGTGGAAAGGTGCAGGGTGGGCTTCCAGTGCCTCCATGGCTCCTTCTTCTTGATCGTCGAGAAGCGAGGGATGCACGTCGTCACTGCTGGAGTGTTCGCTTTCTTCTGCAATCGCACGCATTGGTGATGATCCTTCTTCGCTACACAGCAAGGACGGACCGTCATCGTGGACGGGAATGTCGCATGCGTTGGCTGGCTCAGACACCTCAGCATGCTCTGGAGTTTCTTCGCTCGTCGCTTCTTCGACATCGACGGGAGTCTCCCCCATGTTTTCTTCGTGGGCTGCATCGTCATGAACTGGCTCGTCGTGCACGGTCGCCTCAGCAGGGTTACCCACGCTGTCGCAGGCGTTGATGGTCGGCTCAGGCACCTCAGCATGCCCAGGCTTATCTTCGCTCATCTCTTCTTCCATCTCACGTGCAAGAACATCCACCACCGCTTCTTCAAGGACTGCCGCCACCGTCGCCTCAGGTTGGTTTTCCATCGTTGAACCGTGCGATTGTTTGTTATGGACTCAAAATTCAAAAAGGGCAGAATTTGAATCCAGGGCTCAGATTGGTTGAAATTCCGACTGGATTGTTTGTATTTTGCTCGAATTTTTATCCAATAGAACTCCAGTATTTCATATCGCGTGATTTGATTGGCCAAACCGAGGTAGGGCACACTCCTCCGACGGTGCAAAGGGCGGAGCTAGCTACGATCGGTTGTCCTTGTCGGCCCAGTCTTGAATCGCCGCCAGGAACGCGCGGATGCCTACGTTGATGACTGAGAACCACGTCGTCACCCCATGTTCCGAGGTACGTACCGTCGCCACGAGCGAAATGCTCCTGTCCCGCCGACGGGTTCAACCCAAAGTTGGACAGAATCCCGTTGAAGTTGCTCGTGTTGAGGGCATGTCCCAACGCCCCAATGCATTGCTGCAGTTGTGGTGTGCGCGGCTGAATGCATGATCAGTCTCCTTCTCCTCCAAGTTCCTACCGTGTCAAGAAGTTCCTCCAACGTTTGAATCGACTCGGGAAGGTGGGGCAGCAACTCCGCTTGGACTTCTGGGTTATGCAACAGTTCAAATACCACCGGCTACGTGAACGTTGCTTAGGTGGTCAGCAACGCGGGGGTATCGCAAGCGTACCTGCTGGAGCAACTGCGACATGGAGATGTGCACAGGTCGTTGACTCTACTCGCATCATGTTCATCCTCTACGACACAACTCCTGCATGCAAAACGAGTTAAGTCTCGTACATGTTGCTGTTGCGCCAACGCCATCGCGCGTTGCAAGTCGGCGAGTTGAATGCCGGCGCCGCCACTCGAAGGCGTCGGCACCGACGAAGACGGCGGCGCAACTAAGATTCGAATATCCGTTGATTAACACTAGTAATCCTAGTAGTAGTACTAAGGCCAAGTTAGTCGTCTTCACCTCCGTCGTCCTCCGTGTCTTGGACGTCGCGCATGCTTTCTTCGATCGCGAGCCGCAGCAGCTCTTCCTCGCTCAGTTCCTCCATGTTCACGTCATCCTGTCCGTCGTCGTCGTCGTCTTCATGGCCGCTGTCGTGGTCGTGGGGCACGGGGGAGCTCACTGGAGACGCCGCGTTCGGGTTGCTTCCTATCAAGTCACTCGTGAAATCATGTCGTCCGAAGCAACGTCGAACCTTGCGGCATGCCCATGTGCTGCAGGATCTGCTGCAGTTCCGCCATTTGGACCGAGTTCGGCGCGCCGTTACCACCTGCCGCTTCTTGACCTCCGCCCAAAGCCCTAGCGATACAACACAAAGCTATGGGAATGATCATGGGAGGAATTCCTGTACCCCAACATTTGCATGATCGCGTTGTGGTCCAGTTGTCCTCCGGGGTTGGCACCATTTCCACCTGGCGCACGCGCAGAAGTGCCGCTGGCGGTCGGGGGAGTTGTGGCATTGATCAAGTCGTTGACCTTCTTAGCTTGCTCGGCATCCTTCGAGCTGTCCTTGTTCTAGGCATGTCCGTAAGGTACATCCAGTTGCATGGAGGGGAATACCTGCAACCAGTAGAAGAATCGACGAGCCGAGCCTTTGTACTGCAGCACATACACGCGGTCTTGGGGACGGGACGTGTCGACCTTTTCGAACGTTGCATCTTGGGGAAACAAAATGTAGTCCTACATCGTACATCAATCTGCATGGTTCGTCATGAAGGTAGTTCTTACGTCCACATTGGCGCCGGTAGTACGGTTCTTCCATTGAAAATGGAGCAGTTGGTCGTCGCCGCGGACAAGGGCGATCTTGCCTTTCTGAATGTCGGGAGTAACGATGAGCTTGGTGCTGCCTGGTTCCTTGGCGACGGCAGTCATCTTTCCAGCATTGAACTCCACCAACGACGACTAATGAAGCACTTAGCATCAACAGGACATGCCGTGGACACATGAACGTACCCGCGCGCCACCCGTCTGTCCAAACTGAGGAAACATCTTGACCGCAGACTCGACGGAATTATTATTGCTAGGATATCGTCGCAAGGATGAATTCGATGGTATAAAAATACCCAAATCCTCTTGACATTTGTATATAAATGAATTTAAACGCACCTCTATAAATTAGTAATGATTATGAGAGGAACCTACGAAGTCTTCATTCTGAATGAATTATGGCACATGCTCGAATGGAGGGAACAACGCAGCTATCCATCCAATGCCACCGGCGGACGGGAATGCTTTGCACGCATGTGTGCTTGTTGTGACGTCGAAGACATCCGTCCAGCTGTCGCCCATGCGTGGCCACGAAGTGATTGCGAGCCCATTTCCATGCTGGAAAGGTATGTTCATAGTGCGGTGTTCCTGTCCCATCACAGTCGCAGTGTCGTACGAATGTAGAATCTCTATGATGCAAGATGCAGTTAATCTTTCTTGTACGCGTCCAATGTCTTCTTGACTTCGGCTTCGTACACAGCTTCCGGCTTTTCTTGCGAAAACAGGTCGTGGCCTCGGCGTGTCTCTATCCATGCATACTACATATGAGCCAATATCCAACGATTCTCCTCTGAGCATGGAGGACGTACTCCAGAAGAGCGGGAACGCGCAGATCCCAGTGCCGACAATCACGCCCAGCAGCACCTTCCTTTGATCTCCCACGAGCTTGAGTCCCATCTTGGTGTGTGTCGAAAGTCAAAATGCAAAAATGATTTAATTCCCCAACAATTCGCATACAATACTCAAATCATAAAATTGAGTTATTCGCAGACATGTGATTGGTGGATACGTGTTTCGAGGATTCTGATTGGCTCCTGTATCGCCTCCATACAAGTGGCCGGCGCACACGCATTTGCCAAGAAGTAACCATGCTTCGATCGTTGGCAACGCGCGCGTTCTCGACGGCGAGCGGGGTCCAAACCAAGCTGAACCATCCCACGCGCCGCGCCGGGCACCTCATGACCCAGCTGCATGCGGAAGAAGTGGCCAAGGCTACGGAACGCATCGGCGCCAACTTGACCAAGTTCAAGCCGGGCGATGCCGTCGAGGTCGAAATCATGCTCAACAAGTCGACGCAAAAGACCCAGCGCATCAAGGGCGTGGTAATCGCCGAGCGCAACCGCGGGATCTCGAGCTCGTTCACGATCCGCAACCACATCGCCGAATGCGGCTACGAACAGACCATCTTCAAGCACTCGCCGCTGTTGGTGTCGGTCAAGATGATCAAGGAAAAGTTCATCAGCAACGGCAAGAAGCGAGCGCGGCGGGCCAAACTCTTTTATCTGCGCGACAAGGCCCCTCGATTCACCACGTTGTAATGACTATTACTCCTGTTCACTTGGTTTTCTCCCTCTTGTTCCATCTATCTACCGACGTTTGCGAGCCTTGCGGTTCATGGAGGATGGACCGTCCGTGACCAGCACGCCCTTGTCCACCGCCGGTGCCGCCTTCTTGGCCGCCGCGCGCGCCGCCGCGTCCAACTTGGCCGCGTCCTTGGCGGTGCCCATGCCCGCCCCCTGCGCGCCCACGAACTTGCGGTTCTTTCGGCCGCGGCGGCTCCGCTGCTTGCGCGGGATCCATCGCTCCGGGTCGGGGTTCACTAGCCCGATCAGCGGGTTATAGTCGGCCTTTGCTTTAAGCGATGCGATGAACTGCGCCTTGCGCTTGGCCCGCTTCCGCAGCACCCGCTCCCGGTTCTCGCCCTTCTTCTTCTTCCTATATCATCCCAATTCTCATGACATATCGTACTACTACTAGTACATACTAACTACTTGGATTATTCAATCCAATAGAAATCGGAAGACAATCGATATAACGTTATCGACCAATCAAAACCCACAACACGAATCAAGTAGCCAATCAAATCCACTCTTCGACCAATGCGTTCAAGTCATGTGAGACGAGTTTTACATACAAAAGTCAATACAAAGAATCGATATTGTTCATTGCCCGATTCAAAATCGGCAGAGAATCATCGATCGACCAATCAAAACACAAACCCATCATCAACTAGCCAATCAAATCTACTCTTCGAACAATTCAACATTGAATTAGTGTGTGATTGAAATTAGTGTGACACTGGACCATCTGCAAAAGTCAAAGAATCGATCGACTGGCAAAGAATCAGCACAAAAGTCAACCAAATGTACAATAGATTTGGCAAATAATTAGCACAAAAGTCCACATGTATTGGGTATAAAAGAAAGACAAGAACTTACTCTTTGGCCAATGCAGGCACGACGACGACGGTGGCGCCTCGGGGTTTCGGGGCGCGGCGCACCAGCTCGTCGACCGACACATCACTCGATTGGACGGACGGGAGGGTGGCGGCCCGGGCCGCGGCCGCCGTCGGGTCCACATATGACAGTGCCACGACGGCATATGCGAGCACGCGTACCCGGGTGTGGGCTTCCACGTCGTGTCCTCCGCCGTCTAGGAGGCGGCAAAACGCAGCGGCCGCGGCGGCGTACGCCCCCTGGCTCAGCTTGGCCAGCCCCACGCCCTCAAGCAGCACTTCCGCCGACTTGGCCGACTGACGGACAGCTTCGTCCACGACGGCGGCGGCCGTCTTGGCGTCCAGCGCCGCGTCGTACAGCGCCACGAGGGTAGCCACCGTGCCCGGGGTGTGCTGGATCGCCGGGATCTGGCGGAGCGCGTCGCCGGCCTTGGCGGGGCGCCCCAGACGGCAGTGCAGATGCGCCAGCGTGAGAAGCCCCGACGCCGTCGTCGTGCCCTTCAACGAGTCGGCCAACCCCGAAATAACCCCTTCATCGTCGCTTGCGGATAGGTGGAGTTGCAACGGGGGAAGGAATGCCGAGTGGGGGAACTGCTGCGCCAGCGCGTCCACCGCGGCACTGGCTTCGTCCGGCTACGGGGTGTTGGGGGTTCGGGGTTTAGGGGTTTAGGGGTTTTAGAGATCGATCGTACCTTGTGCATGAGCGCGAGCACGAGCGCGAGGTTGGCGAGGATCGTTTCATGCTGGGAGGACGAGCATTTATCCCGAAGGGTCTCCTTCGAGACGCTGCGGAGGCGCTTGAGCGAGTCGAAAGTGTCCTTGGACGAGCGCTGCTGGATCGTCGCAATGTTGTTGTGCGCCACGGCCACCAAGCCCGCATCCACGTTCGATCTACGGAGTTTCGGGGTTTCGGGGTTTGTGCATATTCACCCACGTACTTGGACACGTGGCGGTAGATGTCGAGCGCGTGTTCTTCTCGGCCCGTGAGCTGCGCCACATATGCTTCCTGCACGCGGATAACCGCGGCTTCCTGGTCGATTTCGGCCGCAGTGTACCCTTCCGCCGCCAGCGAATCCCGGCATAACTCTACGAATATATGTGTGAGAAATATTAACTGTGGAAGGATGATGGCTTACGATCGGCATGGCCAAGGTGCTCGGCAGAGCCAGGGACGTCGCCAGCTTGAAGGGCTACGAGGGACTTGTTGAAGGCGATTTCGTAGCTGCCTTCCGTCTACACATGTTCATATTCATAACGGAGATAGAGACGAGGAGATGACGACCTCTAACGCGCGGGTCTGGAGCTCCGCGCCACGTCCCGCGGCCACATATGCGGCAATGAGGTTCGTCTTGAGTTCCACCGTGTCGTCGGAAGCATGGGCGTTGCTCAGCAACGATTCGTAGATGCGGATGCTGTCGTTGAAGTTGTTGAGGCGATAATGCTACATGTCGTTGTCAAGGCGTGATGATGATTGCATGGACATGACATACCGATTGCGCTTCCAAATGTAGCGCAGACTTGGACTTGGGTTCAGGAATACGGGACAACACTTCCAGTGCCTTTTCCACCTGCAAGTACGCACACATGAGCGACGAGCAATGAGTTGTATAGCCGAAACTACTTGTTTCAGCTTGTAATGGCAGTACGCCTGCTCCAACTCCATGCCGTCGACTTTGACCGCGATTTCCAACGCTTTGTCAAACTACACAAGTGCATGTCATTATCATCAGAAGTATCGGCGGGAAGAGAAGCACTTGCCTTTCCCGTGCGAAGCAAGCATTGCGCCTTCACGCGAGCCGCGTCGACGTCAGTGGGCGCCTTGGCTCGGACTACATGTGTGGCATCAGAATACGATCATCGCATATGGCTCAAGACGCACTCTTATTGCTGGTGTCAATTGCCTTCTGGAAGTTCTCGCGCTGCAGGTGGCCTTGCAGCTCCACGTATAGCTCCTGCACTTCGGTCGCCATCGATTCCACGTTCCCCCTATTTTGTGGCTGTATTATATGTTGAAGGTCCTACTTTGGTTATTCACCTGCGGAATATAATAATGTTAGTATTATGAAGTCAGCACTTTTTTTGCCGGAAATGACATAGTTACCAGATAGTTATTTTGACCATTTCTCCGCTTTTTCATTCACACAGTACTATTTTCTGTCTTCTATATTTAGATGGGGAAATATATGCCTAATATGCACAGCCTACGGTTATGTCCGTGGTAATTTGAGTATCGTATGTTCGGGACAGCGTCGCCCAATCCCATGCCTCGAGTAATTCTACCATCCAATCAAACGTCTCTATTATTTGCAAGCGACCGACGCGGCTGTTGCGGATGGGTATATTTAGCTTGAAGTTACAAGGTGTGGGAGTTTCGCAAACGGCGGTTGCAGCCGGGGAGGCCATTCGTGTTTTGTTGAAGGGGCACCGAAGAGCGAACACGCACAAAGACGAGTATGATCAAGAGCCACGATGGCGGCGGGTACAAGTTCACCACCGCCGACTTGATCAAGATCATCGAGACTCCGCACGAGAAGATCGAAGACGTGCTCAAGCAGCATGGCGGCACCGAAGGCATCGCGGCAGGCCTCGGCACCAGTCTCACGTACGGACTCGACACATCCCGAACAGACGACATCGCCAAGCGGGAGTCTGTGTTCGGCAAAAACTACGTGGCGCCACCCAAGCCCGCGTCCATCCTCGAGCTGATGTGGGAAGCGTTCCACGACACCACCATCATCGTATTGTCATTGTCTGGACTGTTGTCGCTCATATTGGGGGCGACCATGGAGGGCCACTCGGCCGAGTGGATCGAAGGCGCGTCGATTCTATTTGCCGTGCTGCTTGTGACAGGCGTGACGGCAGTCAACAACTGGCAAAAGGAAAAGCAGTTTGCGGCCCTTAACGCTGTCAAGGAAGACGAGAAGATCAAGGTCATCCGCAATGGCGTGCCCAGCGAAGTGTCCAAGTTCCACCTCCTCGTGGGGGACGTCGTGCGCGTCGACTTGGGGGACATCCTCCCCGCGGACGGACTCATCTACGACGAAAACGAGATCAAAATCGACGAAAGCACGCTCACGGGCGAGTCGGATTTGCTCAAGAAGACCCGCGTGGAAGCGCCCGTGCTGTTCAGCGGCACAAGGGTCATGGAGGGGGTCGCTAAGATGCTCGTCGTGTGCGTGGGGGTGAGCTCTCAGTCGGGTATTATCTCGGCGCTGGTGCAAGGCAAGGGCGCCCACGAAGCAAACGACAAGGCCAAGAAGAAGACAAAGGAGAGCGCCGTGGGGCCCGTCAACGACGTCGAAGTCAAGAAGAAGGCCGACTCGGACGAAGTGTACGAGCAAGAGACGGAGAGTCCGCTGCAGGGCAAGCTCAACAAGCTCACGTTCAAAATCGCCAAGGCAGGCACATCCACGGCCGTGATTGTGTTTCTTGCCATGACCATCCGGTTCTCGATTGAAACCTTTGGCAATGGCAAGAATGAATGGAAAAAACAGTACGCGACCGACTATTTGCACTTTTTCATCACGGCCATCACGGTGCTCGTGGTGGCCATCCCCGAAGGCCTGCCGCTCGCGGTCACGATTTCGCTCGCGTTCTCCGTCAAGAAGATGCTCCTCGATAACAACCTCGTCCGGCACTTGGACGCGTGTGAAACCATGGGCAGCGCCACGACCATCTGCTCGGACAAAACAGGTACATCATACCTTGTGTTTCGTTCTCATCAAACCCTCCTTTTTTGGACATGTGTAGGAACGCTGACTACGAATCGCATGACGGTTATGCAATGCTGGATCGGCGGACGCGAATACAGCGCCGCGACCCAACTGCAAGGGGAGATCTCCGACAGTCTGCGGGAAGCGTTTGGGCATGGCGTGGCCCTCAACTCGACGGCGGAAATTCTACCCCCCAAGACCCCCGGCGGCCAGTTTGAGCACACAGGCAACAAGACCGAGTGTGCGCTGCTCACGTTTTGCAAAGACTTGGGCGTGGACTACAGCAGCGTGCGCAAGGACAACCCGGTGTGCCACATGCTCACGTTTAGCAGCAAGAAGAAGCGCATGAGTGTGGTGGCGAGGCGTGGCGTCAACAGCCGCGTGTTCTGCAAGGGCGCCACCGAAGTCGTGTTGGGGCTGTGCAAAAAGGTCAAGCGCCTCGATGGGTCCGTGGCCGACTTGAGCGACGCCGAGAAGGACGAAATTGGCCGCGATATCATTGAAAAGTACGCGTCCCAGGGGTACCGCACGCTGTGTCTGGCCATCCGGGACCTCGACATCTCCACCGACCAGGTTAAGACGTGGTCAGATGACGACATTGAAACGGACTTGACGTGCGTTGCGATCGTGGGCATCGAAGACCCCGTCCGCCCCGAAGTGCCCGAAGCCATCAAGCAGTGCCACCGCGCCGGCATCGTGGTGCGCATGGTCACGGGGGACAACATCACCACGGCCCGCAGCATCGCCGCCAAGTGCGGGATCCTCAAGCCCAACGACGGCGCCATCACGATGGAAGGTATCCACGACGGCATATATATATATATATATATAAATACTCATTCGAATCATTCCTAGGACTGGAGTTCCGAACCCGCGTGCTCGACAAGGAGGGCAAGATCATCCAGTCTGAATTTGACAAGATCTGGCCCATGCTGCGCGTGCTCGCGCGGTCGTCCCCCAAGGACAAGTACACGCTCGTGACCGGCTTGAAGCAGACGACCCTCGCGCCGTACGGACAGCAAGTGGTCGCCGTCACGGGCGACGGCACCAACGACGCGCCCGCGCTCAAAAAGGCCAACGTCGGGTTCGCGATGGGTACGTTGAACCCCGAACCTCCGGAACCCCGCGGTTGTTTACCTGGTGTATGATAGGGATCTGCGGGACGGCGGTGGCGAAAGAAGCGTGCGACATTATTCTCATGGACGACAACTTTACGTCGATCGTGAACGCAGTCAAGTGGGGCCGCAACGTGTACGACTCGATCTCCAAGTTTTTGCAGTTTCAGCTCACCGTCAACTTGGTCGCGATCACGCTGGCGGTGCTGGGTGCCGTGGCCATCGAGGAGAGTCCGCTCAGCGCCGTGCAGCTTCTATGGGTCAACTTGATCATGGACACGTTCGCATCGCTCGCCCTGGCGACGGAGAAACCGACCCAGGCCTTGTTGGAGCGCAAGCCGTACCCGCGCACGCAACCGCTGCTGAGCGCGATGATGATGAAGCACTTGGTGGGACAGGCAGTGTTCCAGCTTGTGGTGCTGGTTGTGCTGCTATTTGTGGGCGAAAAAATCTTTGACGTCGACAGCGGGCGGCTGGCAGACAAGGCGCCCGAGAACAAGAGCGACTCGTCCGTGCACTACACGATCATCTTCAACACGTTCGTGTTCATGCAGCTCTTCAACGAGCTCAACTGCCGCAAGATCCACGACGAGATCAACATCTTTGAGGGGCTGCTGGAAAGTGCTATCTTCTTCAACATTTCCATCTTCCAAGTGGTGTGCCAAGTGATCATCGTCGAGTTCGGCGGGCGGCCGTTCTCGTGTCTGAGCTTGAACGTGGCGCAGTGGATGTTCTGCATTGGGGTCGGCGCCCTCTCGCTCCCCCTCGGGCTGCTCCTCCGCCTCTCGCCCACTCCCGCATGGCTCGAGCGAAAAGGCACCCAATAAGGCAAATCACCCTGCATAACATCTAACATATATACATGTACATTCATGCATTTCTACCCTCCTGTAACAACCACGAAAACCCCGAAACACCCATTCCTTCGATCAACGATATAACCCTTTACATTCAGTATACTAGTACTAGTATAACGCTAGCACCCTTGCGAATTCCAAAACCCTAAAACCCCAAAACCCCGTTGTACGATACGAACGGTTACATCTCATCCATGTGAAACTGCCACTCGTAACCGACGAATGGTCACTCGCGTTGCGGTAACCGATGGCCAGAGGTCTACGCAAGGTCCGGCCGCAGCTGTCGTCGGCGTACATCTCGAAATGGCTGCGTGTGCTAAGCAACATGTCGGCGGGGTTTCTGATCATTGGCACGGGCATCTTGGTGTCGCTCCTGCTGTACCAAGGCATGTTTTACAGCCAGCGAATTTCGCCCATGACCCAAGACAGGTGGAGTCCGCTCTTCCAGTCGTGCGTTCTCAACTCGTCGGGGTTTGTGCTCGGTTCGTGTGACCCCGACGAGGTCGCTTCCACGGGGGTCATTCCGTGGACTAGCGTGGGCGCGCAACTTGCGCGAGATTTGCAGCGAAACGAGTCATCCGAGGCCCCAGTGTACGTGGCAACGTGCGTCATCGGAGGGTACAACGGCACGTCGTGGGCGAACCTCATGTTTCTAGTGGGCGAGCACGGGTTTCCAAAGTGCAAGCCGATGGGGAAACAGGTGATTCTCGGCATGGCGTCGCTCGAAACCGTCGGAACCGACGACTTTCCACTGGGGGCGTTCTTACTGAGCACGTTTGCCGACGCTCGTCCGGTCCGCCCCGTACAAATCGCGACAGTCAACGGCGTCGTGACCGTCATTCAGTCCACCGTCAAGACCATCATCGCTCCCAATGGCTCGACTTTCGCCGCGCCTTGGGAACAGCGCAACTACGTCACCAGTGTCAACAGTCTGAACCGGCTCTTCCTCATGCGGCTGTGGCTCGTGGCCCACTACTTGGACATTTCAAGCCTCACAGATACGCTGGACGGATACAGCGTCGGCAGCCACACAGGAATGACCGTTGCGTTTGGCTGGGATCACTCGCACACTGTGGACCACTACATGCTACTGCTCGCATTCCAAGTGCTCATTTGCTTTGTGTCTCTTGGGTTGCTCAGCAACGACGGCGTGATCACCCTCGAGGGGCTGTCTGGCCTTCTCAAGAACAAACCCGTACTAACATATGACATTTTGGCATCGCTCGAACGCCGCAAGCTGCTGCTAGTGAGTCTCGTGTGCACGTTCTTCTTTTCGCCGCTGTACGCCGACGCCATCCGGTACACATATGCAGAGACGGGGTACCACTACTGGTACCTGGCGCTGCTCATGGTGGCCGTGATGATGGCGCTGTCGTGGATGGCGCTGTTAACGTCACTCCAATCGGTTCCCGTTCCAAAGATATGGCGTAACCGGCCGCTGTGCTACTCGGCGCCAGTGTTCATCTACTGCACGATTCTGTTTTTTGTTATCTACGAAGGGTCGTTCGATAGCGGGAAGGTCGAAAGTGAAGCCATGTGGAGCCATGCCCAGGGCACGCTGGGGCTGGTCGTCCACGGGCAAACGCGGTCGTCTGGGGCGTACACGATGACCGGCATGACGCCGGTGATCTACCTCATCATGCCCGACTTAGTCGTGTGCATGCTGGTCGCATGGGGGGTGTCCATCGCCGCGCACAAATGGCATGTCGGGTATGCCATATTGGACACATCGTGGACAAGCCACAACGAGTTTGTAAACCAGCTGCCCAAGCCCCAGTGGGTCACGAGTCTCAACTTGGACCACAAAAACACGATTTCCATCGGCTCCAAGCTGTTCTGCAAGCCCAGTTTGCTGGTTTTGTTGGGCTACTGCATCATCCGGGACAAAGGAGTCGACGCGACGGCCGCCACCACCAACCTCTACCACCCCGCGTCGAGCCACCACAGCAGCACCCACGACAAGGTCGAAACCGCGAGCTACGTGGTAACGACGACCAAGGAAGGGACGACTGCGAGCAGACTTGGAACCACGCTATACGCAGCAGCCCAACCCCCACCCCACTCGTCGCCCAACAGACTCAAGACCGAGTTCATCGTCATAAGCATCTACGACTTGGTCGCGGCCCTTCTGCCGTGGATTCGAAGGCTCGTGTACTCGCCCCACCAGTTTGGCACGATCACCACCAACAAGTTCCTCGTCACGAAAAGCCACACCCGGCTGCACCAAAAAGCCAACTACACGTACAGTCGCGGTGATTGCTGTGGATAACACCAACTAACGTAACGCCAACTCACCAAGCATTCGAACAGCTAGCCTTAGCTTACAGTTATCCTACCCTATACTATTGCCTTTTTCGCTGAAATTTGGACTCGGCAGAATCGATTCGAGGATAATTTATAGCTTATTCGATGGATCTTCGTTTGCCCGAAGCATACAGTGCCGTTGTCCAGACATTAGACCTCTTGTTCAGTGACGAAGTTTCAAGTCAGAACGTGGTTAGTGATCATCCATCAAGGCATTGACTAAGATATGTATAATTGCTCATTTATTTAAATATTATTTATGTTATTGAATCAATTCATTGTCGATTGCCGAACTGATCATTTGAACGATCACAACAAAACATATGATTTTGAAACCACGAAACGGTAGCATTTTGGATCATGTTACATGGACATCACCGGAGTACGGAACATTTGAACCATCATGGGCCCACCAAAAGATGTACTTTTGGGGCTAGGTATTTGCATCAGTTGATGTAGTCATGTCTTTGACACGCTATAGGGACGATCGTTCTCCCTGGTGATGACACCACCGCGAAATTCCATTTTTGTTCGAAGTTCTAAAGAAACCTGTAGCTCAAGACACAAAACGTGCATTCTGCAATGGCTATGCCCCGGGTTCGAGTCCCACTGAGACCAGATCTTTTTCGGGTGCAATTGTTAACAACTAGACCTCTTGTTCATATTGTAGAAATTTTCTTAAAACTAACAGTAAGTATAATCCTATTTAAAAGCACCTACAGAATCGAGCGTCGGCGATCGACTTGGGGAGAGGTCAGCTCAAGTCGCCTCGCACGCCGGACACGATACTGTGCTTGAGCTCGACTCCGCTTCCTCGTTGCCTCGTTGGACATACTACTGTAGCGAGCCAATACACCATGGTAATACACACCATCGGTTCCACGCAGCGGCATCCACGTCACATGTGCGTTAGTTAACGCACAGCACAACCTTGAAATTCGGTCAAAACGAGATTCGTTCCACTTGTACGTCTCACGCATGATCTTCCAAAGGCTGCATATGCGTCCAAAGTAGTTCTCCACCAGGACTCGATCCGATGACACTCGGGCATTTCGTTCAAGCTCTCGTGCAGTGAGAAGGCCGCCTTGAGGTCTTCGCTTTGGTTGCATGGACCGCACTTCGTGTTGGATCCCTTGATAGCCCATGTCCACCAGTATGCTCCACGAATCTGGATACTATATGCATTGGAGGACTACCACACCATTTCCGGATCATTTCGCATCCGGATAGGGGTTCATTTTTAATCATGTCGAAACCCATGCGCCAGAAATTGCACAATGTTCAATGGTACTGGTATATTAGAGAGGTTTTGCAAGTGTCCAGTAGCGGTCGCGTTCTGCTCCGAACCATGCTTTTTGTGTCAGATGCAGTTTGAACGGAATATCAAACAATGTTGTTTTGCACGAATGCGTCTCACAAATATCCGTATAAGTAAATATTATTCGGATATTCATTCAAGGCAGGAAATCACTTTGTCAGCGATGGTGCTCACGCAGTCGGAGCTGTCCTCGCTTGCCCCCTTCGTAAAAACAACGACACAGCGACGTCGTTTCTTAGTGCTCTGTGCGTTAAGCTACGTTGAGCGCCCAGTTATCCCAGACATCCGGTACAATCTCAATGCTGTGTCCGATGCCAACGCACTGCTGGACTTTCGCTTCGACGTCATGGGAATTAAGAAGTTGGGCTATCTTCTTGGTCTCCCGGCTGTGGTGATTACTACTCAACGCTACCGTGCTTCCCGGGACGAAGCGATGTGCATTCTGCTCGGCCGTCTGGCATTTCCAACTCGGCTCCACACCATCACTGCCAATCAGGAACTGCACCACCCGCCACTCAAACCTGACGTGTCAAGTGTGGTTGGAGGGTCGTGCAGTTCTTGATTGGCCAAGAACTCCCAATCATATGAAGTTATCACGGAGCAGACCGGACTGCCAGTCCGTGAGATGTGCACTTTAAGCGGATTGGCAATCAGATTTAAGAGTACGCGTTCGCGTTCCATATGAGGTTTGACAGGTCGACTTCCGGTTTTGGCAGAAAAGTGGAACGCGAACGCGAACGGACACTTGCAAAACCTCTCTATTATGATGACTTACAAGAACTGAAATTAATTGATTAGGGTGGATGCATTCGGTGTACATTTCAGGTGTAACGTAAACAACCAATTTATGGTCACTCAACCAATTTTTGGTGCTCTGCTATAAGCCAATCAACGTCCACAAAAGTTTGGCGGCAAAACCTGCTTAAATTAATACACACTGACCTTTCGTCATTGTTTTGGCGGCATTGACATGCGTCGCCCGCGATTACGATACACGCCTGAAGAACTGGCTGATGCTGTGCAGAGGATCCTAGGAGGCGCCAATGGCAAGCATGTGTCGCTGTACACGAAGATCCCCTACAACACACTCATGAGGATTGTGCGCCAAACCAAGGCAGGCACGAACAAGGCACCTCAACGTCGTGGTCCTAAGCCAGTCCTACCAGCGGAATGCGAACGCGATTTGGTGCAGTGGATTGTTGCGATGCAGCAAGACGGACATCCGCCTGACCGCCATGACATTCTCGTCAAGGCAAACAAGTTGGCACGCGAGTTCGATCCATTACAGTCCCTGACGGACGGTTGGTACACGCGATTTCGACAGCGCCACCCAGAGTTGACAGTACGCTCCGCACAAGTCATCTCACATGCTCGAAACTTTGTCGACATGGACGGAGTCAATCGTTTGTTCGAATCCATGAAGACTATCGTTGCTGACCATGCTCTAACTCCCGATCGCATTTTAACATGGACGAGGCGGCATTTTCGTCTCGAAAAAAGTCCAAAAAGGTAATTGCACTCAAAGGATCGCAAAATGTGTGGACCAAGACGGTGGCTCCAAACTTTCATTTGTCGATTGTTGCTTGTGTGAGTGCCTCAGGTTCAATTTTTCCTCCTCTTTTCCTTTTTCCTGGTGAAACTATTGATAAAGCTTTGGCTAATCAGTGCACAATTCCAAATGCGACTGTGTCTACTTCACCCAAAGGATTCATGAATGAGGATATTTTTTCCGAGTGGTTGAAACATTTTTCCAGCACTCTCACTGTGACCCGTCCAGTGTTATTGATCTTTGATGGACTTGCATCTCATTACTCTACTGAAATTATTGAGTTGTGCAACTCTCTTCAAATAATCCTGCTTTGCTTGCCTTCTAATGCAACACATCTTTTTCAACCTTTGGATGTTGCCGTCTTTGGGCCATACAAAACAGCGATTCGCAAGGCAATTTTCGAAGAGATGATCAATGACGGTAAAAATTATGTCATTAAATTATCTAAACAAACTGACATATGTAGATTCCGGTTCCATGTACACGATCTCCAAGACGGTTGCGCTGCGCATTGCGTCGAGGGCGTGGACTAGCCACATCGTTCCGACGAACGTCATCAGCGGTTTTCGAACAACTGGCTTGTGTCCGCTGTCGCATGACCAAATGGTCAAGCGGTACAGCCTCTTCAAGGACTGCGGGGTCCCACGTTCATACCTCCATGCAGACTGGATTGTGCGCCGCCAAGTCATTAGGGCCATGATTTTGTGTCTGCCTGCACGTGAAACCAAAACAAGGGGGTCATCCCGCAAGACAGTCGACGTAGGGGGGAGACTTCTTACCTTGGCTCTGCTGCACAAGATGGACGCCACAAAAAAGGAGCGCCTTGAGGCAGCCCAACGCAAGAATGCCCTCAAGGCCAAGCGGAAGAACAAACGCGGTGGCATCGTGCTGTCGCCGCTGGCATTGAAGTGGGCCAGTATTGCGGCGAAGTTGGGAATGGCGCCTCTGTCAAATGGAACGGTCATGAGTTGCGAGGCTACTGAAGTAGTCGTGTAATGCAAATACACCATACGTTAGACTTGTGTTCAGCAATGTTTGAGGTAAATCAGTGACCCTATAAAAGAATTTCTGTGAATTAATGGTTTCCCGTTGTATTATCAAAAAGATGGTCGTAACATTAGTAATCTTGTCGTCGAAAAAATGTCCAAGTAAAAAAAAATGCCAACCCCACTGCCTGAACGAGGATAAAAATCATTGTCAATTGTAAAAAAAGAAATTCGACATTTTTTGGTACGACGTGCGTTTGCTGGCAAAACACTGAAAAAGAATTTTAGCCTGGGTCGCCCCGTCCAAAAATAACTTTGGACTTCTGAGACACAAGCACACGTTTACCCCATTGCCCTGGCCTTGATCCCCGTATGGAGCTGTTTATAACCGCATTGGTGTCCCGGTGGAGCCAGGGCGTAGGACTCGCGTAGTGCTCAGCTTGGGGCGCCCCCTCCCTTGCGGAAGGTAACGACGAACTCATTGCCACTTACCAGCCAATTCAAAACTGAGCTTCGCTCTTTAAAACTAAGAACCATCCGCTAGGACGTATGACAAAAACAATCCTACAATTATGATGCAAGCATACAAACTTCAAATACAAACATGGCTAACCGTCACATCGTGCCTTCGGTCCAAAGAACTGCAGAATTACATTACCTGATGAAATTTAATACAATACTGCTGACATATTATACCCTAAACCTAAAGTATATATGCAGGCATGCATACAAATAATAGTATAAAATTGTGCACCAAAAATTGGTTGCCAGTTCTAGATCAAAGTAGCATAGAAAACTGTGTTTAACAATGCTACCTTCCTTATGAAACATGCGGAATGTGTTCCCAGGCGACAGACTTGCATCTCCGCTTCTCAAACACGCTTTTGGGGTCCAAATCCGATGCTTGGAAGCAGAGATATAGGCCATGGAAGCAAGGCTGTAAGAAAAAGTAACCATAAATTGGTTGCTTACGTTACTTTGCTTCGGTTTGGACGGAACTTTGATTTGGGGCCGGCACAACAGCCCCGGCTCACGGAATGACGGCGATTGGAGCCGCCGCCTCCAAGAAATTCTTGCCGATGGGAACAGGTTGGAGTAGGAATGAAGCTGGCGTCTAATTCTGCCTTTTCCAGTATGTGGGCGCTGTTTGGGGAGGATAGTGACACCGCTGATGGAAGGCGACATCGACAGATACCCCGTCGAATGTCGTCTGGGTCTACAGACTATGAGCGATTGCATTACTTCGCTTCGTCAAGCCGCTGAGTGGGGTATGGGCGTTTCGAGGTTTCGGGTGTATCGACAGCTGTTGTTACCTTTGCCGTACAACCCGTTGAAACGGCGAACAAGACTCGACAACATCTTCCGCTTGTACAACTTTAGAGTTCGTCGTACAGGCATAATCCAAAATGTTTTTGGCGCTTGAGATCGCTTGGTGCTATACAGAGATGTCAATACACATGTAATAACCTTGCATATACCGGACGTTTGTGAATCCAATTCTTCATCATCATCATCGTTGTCTTCCATGCTCAGTCCTGCAGCATTGGAGGACAATGAAAACCTCCGCAAACACCATTTCGGATCATTTCGCTCATTGCCGCGTTGAGCGCAACTCCCAGGTTGTCGTGCCTTGGCAACCAGTGTACCTTTAACCAATCGTATGCATTTATTGAAGTATGTATGACCAATGACCTGTGACCCCTTTGTATAATTTGGGGAGGTTTTGGTTGCACCCTCTTAAAGCAATTACCGGTTAGCGTATTGGACCCGCCGTCAAAGAAGACCTTGCAAGGTTTATGCCCTTCGTATCCGCACACGCTTGAAGTAATGCAACTTTTTGTGCTCCGTAGCGCTCATGAAATACCAGGAGGACACCCTCTGGTACACCATGTACGCTGCCAAGGAAGAATAGTCGTTCATTGCAACCTTATCCTTGCCCCCTGATGCTTTCGAATTCCTGCTGTCGTACTTCAAGCGAACCCACATTGTCTGTCGGCCCGTGGAAGCCCGCCTTGTGTCACCAAGAAGCACTCTGTTCTTGCTATGGTCCTCCACTTCTACACTGTCGCGATTGAGCCCGGGGTTTCGGGGTTTCGGGGTTCCCCCGAAACAGCTCGAGCCCAAGGCACTTCAAGAACTCTTTGGCCTTGTGTCCACAACGTTTTCGAGGATTCTGCTCCGGGCCGAAGATGCCCTTTCCGTGGCGTTGGGCATGATGCATGACACGCGCATTGCGTGGTAGTCAAAGAGGACTCAACTGTTCTGGTCCAGAAGAACTCAAGAGCGCGAGCTGCTTGTGGTCGGGGTGTTTGCATTCGTTGACGGCAAAAACTTTCGCGTCCAAGTGCCGTCTAGCAGAGATCTGCGGAATGCCCAGTACAATGGTATGTGTTGAAATATTTGGATTGTACTAACGATGCATAGGTTGGGGCACTTCGAGATAAGCCCCTGGTCACTAATTATATCTATTTTTTTTCAATTCCAAAAAATCATCCGGATAAAACATCCCTGCCTCGACCGCCAAACCACCTTCGACCACACACAAAAGAATGACAAGCAACCAAATCAAGTACTAGTATTTATTAGATTACTTCAAGTACTCTTTTTTTTGTTTACGAATGGCAATGACAAGTCCCTTGAATACCATTTTGCCGTCAGCTTTCGGAGGAAAACACCAGAAACGCCACAAAAATTCGTCTAAGTACCCAGGGAGGTGCTTGCGTGCACCCGCGCATCGCCTTGAGGTATTGTTTGATCCTCACCTCCCACACACCTTCGATTGACTGTGCGTGGGCACCGTTGATGGGGTTGACAACGTTTTCGGAGTGGTTGACCCAAGCGTAGGTGGAATTCGTGCCACGCAGCCGGGGTTAGTCTCCAGGGTGTGGCGTTCATTCGACGACACGCACGAACCAAACTTGTCCGACATGAGTTTAGTACCTGGTTTGATATACTTCAAAATCAAGTCGTACAAAGTAGGCTTCGTACGGTCGTCGAATGTCAAAAACCCAAATCACTTTTTCGTCGTGCGGTCGACACCTCCAAACAGCCAACAGTCTGGATGCTGAATGCTGCGGTTGTATTTGGACTTTTTTGTCAGCGACGTTTCGTCGATTTCGACGATCGACCCAACGCCGCCAATCTGAGACAAATAATTAACATTAATGTTTGGTTGAATACATACAATCAACTAGAACGACACTATTATCTATATACGTGTATGGATCAATGCAGTAAAAATTCAGTGTGGAATACGACATGACAATTATTCAAATATGAATATATGAAATGAATACTGTATGTATCAAATATGAATATTTAAATATATAAATATGCGAGAAATATACTCGTACATGGTAAACGTATATACATATGTATATATATATATATATATATATGAGAGAAATAGACATGGTGAATGCGTGCATACTGTAGTAGTTAAATGTAAATCAATATTCATGTGGAATAAAGAAATACATGTATATGCATATTCATGGGGAAGATATAGATACATTTATATATATATTCATGGCGAAGAAATAAATACGTGTATATGCATATGCATGGTGAATATATAAATACATGGACTAAAGTAGAATCTGCATATACAGTACATGTGGTCAAAATACATACATGCACTTGCATAACACGGGGAATAAATGAATAGATGTAATTACATATCAGAAAAATAAACAAAGTATGAATGAATAGATAATAGATGAATTCAGCTACGTACCTTCATTTCGCATGATACCTCGCGGAAAAAGTTAGACCAGTCGCCGGCCGAGGTTGGTGACACTTCTTGCTCTTTCGTCACCACAGACACTGACTTGTGCGAGCGCAGTCAAACATCAGGCGGACCGTCTTCGTCAATGGTAACTTTGACTTGGCGAAGAACGCGTCCGCCTTGATGCTTCGCTGGACATCGCCGCAAGAAGACCGGCGGCAGAACCAACGCTTCGTTGGGACGGACATGGTCATGGCGCCGTCGCACTTTGGGCAGAGCATCACGTTCTTGAGCAGTCCAACTTTTAAACAGCACGCAACGGTGGCGTGTTCATCGCACGTCACCTTCATGACCTCTTTGTACGAGAAGTCATGAAGGTCGTGCAGGACTTACTGAGCGTCCATGGTGGCACCTGAACGTGCGGACTGGTTAGTGAATTCGACAATAGCGGGGGATAACAAGTCATTTGTATACATTCAAAACGTTATCCGGTGGTATCTCGTGCCCAAATCGGGGCCAATACTGGAGTTGATTTGGTTGCTTGTCATTCTTTTGTGTGTGGTCGAAGGTGGTTTGGCGGTCGAGGCAGGGATATCTTATCCGGATGAATTTTTGGAATTGAATAAAATTAATATAATTAGTGACCGGGGGCTTATCCGGAAGAGTGCATAGGTTGGCTGCATTATTTGTTAGTAGTGTCGGGCGTCCTGTGCTTTGGCCTTGACGGTATATTAACTTGGGATCGTCACAATTATCCCGGGTCGAGAAATGACGGCGAAATTAGCCGCCGTCTACAGGAGATTCTAGGAGACGACGGTAGAGTTGGCGTTGGAATGAAGCTGGCATCGGACTCAGCGTTTCCTGTCAGTGGACGATGCTGTGGAAAGATTGTCACACCTCTCACATATGGTGATGTAGATAGATACCCAGTGGAATGTCGGTTAGGTCTACAAGCGATGAGTGATTGTATCACCTCGCTTCGACAAGCTGCGGAATGGGGCATGGGTGCAGTGCTAAAGTCTACTGCCAACTCTTGTAGCATTTGCCATACGAACCTTTGAAGGGCAAACAAGGTTCCTATAGAGTTCGCCATACGGGTATAAGTCAAATCAAAACCGTTTTTGGTGTTTGAACCATGTAAGAAAGATGCATTTTATCCTGTCGGAAAAGTCCTTATTTATCCTAGATGAAATACCACTCCGTCCCGAAGCACTGACACGTTTGGACATTCCATTAGTTGTGAAGTTAGAAAACAATCAATTGTATTAAAACTATTCCCTAATCCAGTACAGTAGAGCCAATCACGCGGAAGATGACTTGGGTATGACAAGGTGTCATTGACGTATTCCTGGGTATTAAATTATAAAGCCGAAGACGTCTCTTGTTTTCGATATATTTGAGACATTCTTCAAGTCCGGTGAACATTTTGGGTTGAGCGGCTGATTTTATTCGAAGAATACACACGCAGTTTTTGGAAGAATGGCAATATAATTATATGACCTTATAGCCAGATTCTGCTCTTTGATTGGTACAAATTTCACACAAATCCAATGATTGGTCATAAAACCCGTATGTGGCAAATATCAAACGTGTCAGTGATTTGGGACGGCGTGGTACTTGCTTGCATTATGCTATAAGACTTTTGAGTTACTTTTAGGCGTTTTTCAACATAATTAGGAGTTACACGTGACTGCATCCACTGGGACAAAACAGGGTAATAGTGAGTTCAAGACAGATGATATTGGGACAAACGGGATAAACTGCATCCACTTATTGCATCCAAACGCATCCAACTGCATCCAGATACAATTATACATGTGGGACATCGGGGTCGAGTGGGTTCTCGGGGGGGTTCAAAAACAACGGCTAAGGTACATTAAAGGTATGACTATCACATTCGGGAGCATCGGGGTTACGTGGGTTACCAGGGTTTTTTTTTGGCTCGCATTCGTCTCTATTATTTTTGGATGCACTTTGGATGCAGCGTGGGAAGTACACTTATTTGGGATTCTCAAAAAAACAAGTACTATTAATCGCCCTGTTTTGAAGTAATGCAAAAAATGTTTCCCAATTTCATTAAATTCCATGAGCACAAGTCCTAATATTTAAAAAAATCTGCTGTACTAAGTAGGATGAATTGAGCCTATTTTGATCATTATTATATGTAATATATGCAATTTTACATCTCGAAAAGGGATGTAAACCAAAACTCTATTTGTTACTTTTGTCTCCAAAACGTTTAGAAAACATGATCATTTCGCGACGCTGTTCACGATGCGCCAGTGGTAATCGCGGTTTTGTTGCTTGATGCGCCACTGGTACTCGCGCTCTAAACGCTATTCATCGCGTTCTGCAGCTTTCTCATCCATCATGAGTACAACAGACATCATATCCGATGACGCCTTGTTGTCCGCATCAGCGGCGCCGTCGATGTACTTCTCGATAGAGCGACGTTTCTTAACTACATATGACTGCAAACCCCCACCGTCATCATCTCGCTTAAATTCGCTGCTCAGGGTCTTCAGCGCACTGACATCCACGCCAGTGCGGCTTGGCCTTGTCGGTTCCACTGGAACATCTCGCTGATTGGCTGGTTCACTGCTGGCTTATTTTCATCATGCTCCGAAACTATTACACAAATATATGTTGGATATACATAACAATCATATCGATACTGATGGGGTGTCATTATCATCGCCACCCGTACGAAGGACTGGTGCCTCCACGTCAATCTGACGACTGATACGCTTTGCGCGCGCGATATCCACTGGACATGAGGGGTGACCAGTGGGCTTGGGGTGGTTTCGTAGCAACGAGAACTTGCGCTTCAACGCGTCCCCATCGCGTATCGCGAAAGGCCAAGCACCTAAGCATTTCGTCCTGTAGACAAAAATATCTCGACGTGGTCCAGCATCAACGCCACGGACGCTGGGCACCATCCTTTACCACGACCCTTCGATCCCTTCGACATGGTTGTTCCTAAAATGATGAGTTGCGCTACGAGCAACTAAAATATGACCTGTATGATTTGTTACAACTTTGCGGGGTGGAAATATGAGAGACCTGTAGCATATTTGCACATAGCTTTTCTGTACTCCGTTTCGGGGTGTCAGCAATATGCTACAGGTACTACTCTGGTCCACAAAAAGGCTGACATTTGTCATATCGTCCTTGAAGATCACTTGATTTTTTTATCGGAAAAATTAAACTTGACGTTTGTATTGACTCTTGAGAATTTATACGTTGAGTAGATTCCAACTCGGACCATTCGGATAGTTTCGAACTAATAGTAATTTGTATACACCTGTTTAAAATGATACCTTTGAAAAGTAAACTCTTCAGCATTAATACATTTCAAGTGTTGGATTGGACTTGGCGCCGATGGCGAGGAACCGACTGTCGCTCGTGCTGATATGCACTAATTCCAGACCACGGATACTGTTGTGCGATGGTCAGTTCAATAGCCCCGTGACTCTTTTGTCGGAACCAAGCTCCCTCCTCCCTGTACTTTCACTTGGTATTCGCACACACTCCATCGCCCGGCGCTCCTCGCTGGACATGCTTCGCCACTTTAGACGACCCTAACAAGGTGCAAAGGACTCTAAACATGACTAGGTCATAGCCAAGATGTATTGTGGTACCTGGAGGGTGCGTGTGGCGTCAGAAGTGTAGTCATAAACATCGTACAGATCATAATTCTCTGGTCGTGAAAACATGAAACTTCGGTGCCAAATATATTTTGAACCACAACTCTGTTGAATGCGCATTTATAGTCCAATCAAAGCCCTTGGTTTCCTCAATTCGAAAAACCAATCAGATTGCGCATAGCTCTAAAATTGACCTATTTTCGCCAATTGAAAGTAAGTGTCAGGATTATTCCGGACCAGAGTTACAGAAGGCTTAGCGTAGGTATAACGAAGGTAATTCAATTATGTGTGGCCGTAGTAGGCATTACTGAAGAGTCACGACCTACTGCTGCCATTCAATGTTGAGCCTCACTGATTGGGTGTGGCGGTTAACCGGAAAACCGGATATTTTTCCATCTGTTACTCCCCCTGTTTTCTGGACCTCATTTTACCGAGTTCCGCCGCAGTGTGGTCGCAGCGATGCGGCGAGTACACATGCAGAGTGGCAAGGCTGAAGCCCACGCGGGATCGATCGGCCTAGCGAACCTCCTCACTCTGGTAGGGGGGTTCCATGTACCGTATAGGTAACAATAACTACCCTGCCTTTTTTCGCTCAGGGTAGCTCGAGAAAGACCCGCCAAAAAATCCCAAAGCAGTTATTCGGCCCGAGATTATATTTGATGTTCGTATAGTATACAAATGAGTTTTTTGGCTATGCGTAGTAGCTATACCCGGGGGTCGGCCCTACGGGGTAGGGTTAAGGGGAGGGGGGAAATATTAGGCTTAATTTAAACTTCATTAAAGTATACTATAACAATGCTCTAATGTCCGAAAACATATGCGAGGACATATGGCATCATACCATACACTGTATGGTTTTCAATAACATATTTTGTATGTCGATACAAAATTCAAGAAGTCACATATTAAGAAAGATTTCCACGAAGTTCACAAGGAAGGCATCTGGAGGCTGCGGGAAACGGTTAAAATTTACATACCTTGCACTTTTCGTGATGTATATGTCAAATGGTCAATTGCAATACTATGGTTATTCCAGTTAACTATTAGTTAATCGAGAATAGCGGTGAACCATTCTCAATTGTCACTTGAACGATGTTGGCCACGGCGTAGACACATAGAGGGTGAAGGTGTAACTCATGTCGAAATATTTGTCGCAGTGCGCCAAATTGTTTCAACCGAGCATTCACCGTTTCATGGCGCGACATTATAGCTTTTTGACGTCGACTTGTCTGCACTAGAGTGTTTGGGGTGACAAAACACGCTTCGCCCGAATAACCTCGATCGGCTAACACACTCTCGTTCACTGCAAGAGCAGGAACGAATGCACTTCGAGCCAAGGTCAGATCTGGCCAGCTGCCACAAGGAACACCGCCGTTGATCCATACTATTTGACTAGTAGAATACAAAGCCCAATTTCGTATCGCCGCCCTGGGCCGTGGAATTTGTGAGAATACCACATACGGTCAAACGGTTTAGGCTCGTGGATTCGGAAGTCAGTCCCATCAAGACTGACAAACATTGAAGCGCCCTCGTTCGCCCTTGCGAATCGTTTGTGCCAAACAATCTATAAAAATTAATTACAAATGCAGATAAATCATTTATAAGGTTAGTTAAATCATTGGAGTGATACCGTCTCCAAATGGGCTAAATGTTCGATCCATGACCATGCCCACTTCCGGAACGTATTTTCGTCAACCCACGCAAGTGCTGCATGGACTGTTTCTGTTGCGTATAGCTTTAGGAACATCAATGCCCACAATAGATGGGCAACAACTGTCTCCTCCAGGTTGTGCTGCTTTTCTACCCAAAGCAGCGTGACAATGTTGGGATCGACGCCAAACAGAGATCGAAATCGTCGGTTGCAATAGGGGGTAAGGTTGGATGCATGTCGCCGACGAAGGATTGTTGTGGCTGTCTTCACTATGTCATCATCAAGAGCGTCGATCTTGGCCATCTTTGGTGACGTGTGGTGTTGCACTGTCCGTCGAAGCGTTACATATTTTTATTCTTAACATTTAAATGTGATATTATTTAAAAACGATATTTAAATGTTAGTATTGAATACATGATGATAACTTGAAGTTGGTCATAATTTATAGCTAACTTTGTTAGCTTTCCCAGAAAGTACATGTTTTTATCGTCGAATAACGCTGCAACGGTTTACTTGCTGGCACTACAATTGATATGAATAATGTAGACACTAGTGCGGGCTACTAAACTTGATATGTTGTGAGGCATTTCGGAGCTTGTGACATACGTCGCAAGGCTTCAAACATGCCACTTTTTGGAAATATAACCTACTTTGCAAGAGAATGACTCAACCAGTAACAGCTTATGTATCGACAATGACATGTCATTACGTAGTGGCAATGCTATCGATCAAGCCCACAAAGTCTTAAATTCATCGGCACAGGTACGGCACCAGTACAGCAAGTTTAACGGGGCTACTTGGTCAAAACTCAAATATAGATTAAAGTTGACCACCTTTCTATGTTATAATTGTATTGCAAAGTTTTAATGACAATTGAATGTTAAAAAAATATAATCTAACATATCAATGTTAAGCCATTTAAACTATTCAACATCATGAATTAAATGAAAAGGGGAGAAGATCCTATTTATCCGGATACAAGCCCGGAAATATTTGAATTTCGACTTCACGCGCGCATTCTGGATATGTCCGCGCGCTGGACAGGAGACAGTGAAGCACAGAAAGTACTTCAAGGACTAGTCGACCAAGGCAAGATCGACGGAGGGACTGAGCCACAAGAAGCACGTGCACTCGCCCCAGAAGTATTCAAACACTTCAACAACCAAGTATTCAGCCTACACCTTCGCAACACCAAAATGGCGAACCGTAAGTCCTTCCATACCCTTCGATCTTCTTTAACAACTTCTCAATTATATAGATCTCCGTGTCACAACGAAACGTGCCCGAAGCACACGCTGTGCCGTCACTGCCGACGACACCGAGGTCGACATTCCCCAACTCGGAAAGGCACGTGCTGCAAGCTCTATGCTCGGGGCGAGTGAAAGAACCACCATGAGAGACAACGTATCACTGAGACACCCATCTTATCTTGCTGTCCAATACATGTCTTGCTGTCCAATACATAGACAGCAAGACAAAAGAGTGGTTTGTCAGTGTTGCGTTGACTCTCATGTGGGGGTCAAAGCAGGGACCCTTGAGATTACATCCGAAGATCCATCAACGTTGGTACTCACCTACGAATGGCCCCCAGCTATGGTATCCGTTTTTGACCACTTTGAAAAAGAGTTGGCTGACCAACCATCGACCAAAATGTGGCGAGGGCAAACGCTTTCGCGGCGGCAATTGATGAGCAACTGGGCAATTTTGGCGCCGCTCCAATCAGCACTCAAGTCATTGATTTGCCACGACCCTCCGTTCCACACAAATCACAGTTTACGGTTGCGATGGACGGTGTTGTGCCCAAAGAAATGCTTGTGTTCGAGTTCAAAGCACAAATTAGCAACGGCCAAGCAGCAGTAGCTCAGATTTTCAGGATTTAGCTATATTCACAGAAATGCATTCTTCTTTTAACTAAATTGTCAGTTTGCTTATGTTAATATACAAATGGCAACTATGTATGGTAGGAGCAAAGTAGATCAGTTCCCGCAGCCTCCTGTAGCTCATTGTCAATGGAGGTTTATTAGAATTTTAACCGGATATTATTCCTAACTTAATATTGCCTTCTCGCGTTATCCGGCTGATTGGGCTCACTTGGGGGGGGGTGTTGGTTGTGTTTACAGTGTTTTTCACGATCCGGTTATTTAACCGAACCGCGGGTCCTCTTCACCCGGATATCCCTTCTTTTCAGGTGTCGCATGACGGTTTTTGAATTCGTCGAAAAGAATGGCGGGGCCCGGATTCAAACCGGGGATCTTTGGGTTAAAAGACTGACGCTCTACCAACTGAGCTAATGCGACTCCCTTTTTATTTGTAGCTCAAGTGGTAGAGCGCCCGATTCGTGACCTGAAAGTCCCGAGTTCAAGTCCACCATTTCGCAAAAATTTTCATATTATTATTTTTACGTGGAAGTACACAAATGTCAGGCATTCCAAAATTCTTCCGAGGCATTAACGATGAGCAACTTGCTCATGGACTCATTAAGTTAACCCAAGCAAATCTTTATTTATCTACGTCACTTAAGTTGAGCTAAAGAGCTCAGCATATTCGCGTAAATATGGTTCTCCTGCAAGGACTTGAGATGATCATCAAACGCAGTCGACATGGTGCGCATTGGATGCTGTCCACATGTTTCGAACGCCCTTGCTATCCACTGGTCCTTGACGTTTTCCTTGTTCATCTCGTCGTAGGAGTCGTCGATGATTCCAACCAGTTCTGCGTGATCAATCCGATATACGTAGCCAGGCGTCATCTCCACAACTCGACGTCTCAAGTCCACATGGCTTGGAGTCGGGAGAACACCAGGGACGAGAAGG